CCTGCCTGACCTGTCTTACACATGTCTCACCGGTCCCCTTGGACAGTGCTGTGGCATTTGCATTCCCACCCCTGCAGCCTTTCCTTTTTCTCAAAGCTGTTTCCACAGCTGAGGCTGGTGAGACCCCACGTCCCCGGCCAGCTGTCACCAAATTCTGTGTTCAGGTTGTCGGCCTGAATCCTTCACTCAGCGTTACTTAACATCGCGTAGCTGCGAAAGGGGAGGGTGTCAGCAGTCACGTAATGTGCCATCCTGCAATCGTGAGATGACTTCTCCACCCCCAAAGTGGCAGTCGTGGCCTGGTCCCCACTGGAAGTGGTGCTTTGGAGTAAGCCTTGCTGTGAAATTGGTGCTTGTTTTAATCTTTCCATGGCTTGATGGCATCAAACCCCGTCTGACTGCTCCCGGTGAGCTCCTTCATTTTGTCCAGGATGCCTGATATGACAGTGTGCCCTGTTACTGGACTGTCACAAGATGTGACTGCAGTCAGAGCCCCCTGGCTCCCCCGTGCTCTCCCTGATGTTCAGGGTACCCACAGCCCCAGGCTGGCTGGGGGGCAAAGAGAGACGTGGCTGCACCATGCAGTATCGCAGCTAAGTTGGGGCTGGTGCTGGTGTCCCTGCCACTCTCCTCTCATAGACTGCTAAAAATAATGGAAAAAATCAAGAGCAAGCAAAGTTTTTGTAAGCTGGGTGGCTGATGACTGCCACCCCCAGCCTGGTACCAGCTGAGATAAGTTATTTTATGTTACCTCTGTATGTCAAGTTTCATTATGGTGGGTGGGATTCACAGGAAGACACTGAGGGCATCGGGGACCCCCCCAGGTTCCTAGTGGGAGAGCGATCACTGCCCGTTTTTAGCCAAGCCAGAGCTACGACGGCCAAGGCACTGCCGCTGCGGTTAGCTCAGGGTCGAGCTGGTGTCAGGGTGAAGCGCCTCTGCTCTTCATTGCTGCAGGGAAATGTGGGTGAGCGGAGGCAGGAGATGTGTTCCGAGGAGGTGGTGGCAGAGCGGGACGGCAGCACCCAGGTTCGTTCCTCGCGTGCCTGCAGCTCCTTCTCCAGCCCCAGGCTCCTGCCTGGCTCACAGCACGGGGAGGAAACCGCTGCAGGCAGCGGCTGCCTCCGTCTGCAGCAGCTGCTGTGAGCAGGCACAGCTTCCCTGGGGTCACCTACCTGGCACGGTTTATCCCCCCATCCCCAGCCTGGGAGTCTGGTGATAGCAGCTGGCCATGGCCCGGAGCATCCTGCTCCAGCTGGCCCCGCTCCGAGCAGGGCTTGGACTGGGCAAGCTCAGCGATCCCCGCCAGCTTCAGCTGGTCTGGGGTTCTCCGAAAATTCATCTGTTTGCAGGGAGCGCAGCAGACCTCCTGTTTCCTGAGAATTACTCCAGCCCGGGGAACAGAGTAAATCATCTGCAATATGATGTATTGCCTTGTCCTATGATTGTCCACAGCTCCGGGTCCTTTGGCCGGGCCAGCCCCTGTGTGCTGAGCGTGACACGGAGGCAGTAAATCATGGCCCTCTCTCTGCAAGCGTGCACAAACAGTTGATTTGGAAATGTTTTATCTCAGCTCTATTAAAAAATAGAACGACCCTCTTGCAGCCTCCTGCCTTATCTTCACTGACTCTCCACCCCTCTGTCTTTCAGCCCAAGATTCCCCATCACGTCACACAGAGCTGGTGTATCAGCAGCCTCTGCAGCCGTCTGCGTGCTGTGCGGGAGCTCACTGCGAGCTGGTCTCTGTTGGCTTTCACATCCAGAGAGCTGCAGCACCCAGAGCGAGCACCATCAAGGTGTAGGGTGTGAATTTACAGCAGTGTGGTGAGGTGAGAGGGTGAGTGTTTAGTATTCAGTTCAGAGAGTTATTAGACCTTGTTGGAGTTTGATATCACCAGCCCTGGAGAAGCAAGCTGCGATTTGGGTAACTGGGACTGTCAGCTCTAACCCATCAGAGGCCGTCAGTGAGAAGAGGCTGAAGAAGACATTGCAGAAAGGTCATTCACTTCTGTGGGGACAGATGAGGCATTGGATGCAGAGAATTGAGTATTTTTTCCAGGAAACCTCATCCTTCCTGAATCTGCTGTCTGCTAAAACCCTTAAAAAGCCAATTCACCAACAGTTTCCACCTGAGAAATAATCACTTGTATGAAGACTTAAGCGTCTCATTCGCATGATGATAATCCTTCATGAAAATGAAATAAGGATTTCTACAAAGTTTGTGGAAGCTCTTGGCATAATAACATCCAGCAACAAACTGCCCCATTAATGAAACAAAACTTCTGTTGGCGCTTGCCCAGAAAACCTTACCTTGCAGGTTACTGTAATTAGAGCTGATTTTATAGGAAAAAAGGTTACCAGCTGCACATTAAAACTGCTTCTGACTGAAGCTTAGGGTAACGCTTTCAGCGAGAGAGTCTTTCCTTCCATCTGTATTCAGAAGCATTCAAGTGCCACGGTTAAACCAATGCTCCCAGGTTTTGGTTAATTACAGGTACCCTTCTGTCCTTTTCCCCAACAAAACTCAACTTACAATTGATGCTTACCAAACACAGTTAAAAACATATACATTTCTGTGACCTCCCCAGAGGCTTAGCACACTGCCAGGAAAATTAACATGGATGAGAAAGGAGCATCTCTGGCTACACCTTTGCCTCACAGAAAGCTGGTGGTGCCTGGATGTGTATAGTGGGATGATGGTCATTACTGTAGGTTACAGATGTCGGTGGATTAATAACATCGGCTGCTGAAGTATCAGCTGAAGAAAGCATGATTTGAGGCTACCTCTGAGAGAGAGGAGATTCCTCTTAAACCAAACTCAGCTCTTCCCAAAAGTCATGAAAAATCAGGTGAAAGAAAGCACCTGAGCAGAGGGGGAGACTGGTGCTGAGATAAGGAGAAAGCATGATTCTCTTCTAATGCAATAATAGTAACGTAAATACTTCTCTAGTGGCTAAAAAGAGCACGCTGCCATATTTATCTTCATTGCCAGCACACATACCACTACAAAGATAGTTTTCTTTCTTCTGATTGCTTTGCAATTACAGGTAAAAATCATAAGGTAATTGGATTTTATACACTCTCATCCAAAGGCTTTAGAACATGATTATCTACGGTGATTGATATATCCCAGGTGATGAATTACTGCACTAGAGACATGCATGCAACTCTCATGTACAGCCAGACAGAAAATGTGTGTCTGGCACTGAGCTGCGTAATTTCAGCCCTTACTGGGAAATGGTGCAATCTAGGCTGGAATCAGACAAATTTTGAAAACTTCTATGTTAGTGACTGAAGTGAAAATAAGCTATATCCACTGAAAGGCTCTAAATTATGAGAGATATGAGAGATAACTTAATAAAGATGTATTGCTTCACTTGAAACCTCTACACACATATGTCCATACAGTGCAACCAGCTCTCTTTCCCAGTTCTGACCTGCACTCTTTGTCCCATAGGTTCACAGGAGCAGATTGGGAATCAGTGTCGCTCAGTGGCTAGCTCTGTGGATCAGGAGTACCTGCCTGAACTTGGGTAGCTCGCTTTGCTGTAAACCAAAACAAAATGTAAAAGCCCCAGCAATGGTGCCACTCTCACAGAAATTAGGAGTATAATTTCCATTGCAAGTTAATGGCAGTTTACCTGACGTTGGGTCACTTCAGCATCTCTCTAAGCACAGCCACCAGAGAGCTCTCTGGCCATGTGGCAATTTTACATCTGCCAGTCTAATAAAAAACCTCAAATCTAAAGTATAAAGCTGGAGCTTTTAGCTGTAACATTCCATTCACTGGCCTCTGCCACAGCATATTGCAGGAGGACGGCAGACCAAGCGAGTTAGAGCGGCATTGGCCATGGGGAGGGTGGTGAAGCTGGAGACGCACCACTGGAAAGGCTGACAGGTACATACCGGGCATGGGATTGCTGGGAAAATGCACGCCTTAGAGATGTCCTAATTCAGGCCAGCACGGGCAGCTGCTGGCATGGCACAATCTGAACGGGCTTCGTAACAATGAGCGAACAACTGTGCCTTACAAACCACCGGTAATGGCTGAGCTTTCAGCAAATCATAGCTGTTATTCAAATAAATTATAGTTCCTGTGAAGAAGATGAACATTGCAGTTTCAGATAAAAAAATGGTTAGAGAGCTCACTTGGACAATAAACTGAGAGAACCTAAAAAAGAAAATCTGCTTATGTCAAGCCTTAGGAAGTGGGCAGTGAATTGGCTAAATGATAGTTACACATTTCAGAAGTCTGGCTCTGCAAACCACTTCCCATGTATGCAATTTATATATATAAAAGACAATGCTATTTTCTTCCAAGTACAGAAAAGTCCACTGAAATTTCTGAGACACTAATTTCAAAATGGCATAGCCATAAACCTGCAAACTGTTGAGCAATGTAGACCTTCTTTTAAAAATGCCTCTTGGCTTCAAAAATAAAAGCTGGCAGGAAACACAGCCAATACTTTGATGATAAGAACAAAGAATGGTGACGAGTCTCCTCAGGGCTCAGTGACACACAGCCCTTCATCCACAAAACTTTTTATTAAAAAATGTAGAAATAAAAGAAACCAACCTGGTGGGAAAAAGGGCAGTGAATCTTTTAACAGCTATCTCCAAGGGAGAAAGCACAACATATTAACCTTACAAAAGCAAATCTCCTGCACTGTTTAAGGAGTAGTCTCCAGCATAGCTTTTGTCCAATCCCTGTTTGTAAAGAACAGGATCCCTGCACACAGCCAGCTGGCTAATGCCAGTGTATACACACACACACACACACACACACACATAAGATAGATATATAGATAGATAGATATGTAAGTAAAAGTGTATGGATATATAAGTAGAAGATGTCAGTAACAGAGTGAGTCTCCCCTTTACTAGGAACTTTTTTAGAAGGAAAGAATATAACTTAGAAACAATATTATCAGAAACTTTTATTTGTTGTGATTTATAGCTTCATACAGATACTGAAATGAAGAGGAAAGCATTTCAGATTTTCAATCTGCAGGCAAAATACAGAAACATAAAAGATTCGTCAGTATTAACAGCCAGAGAATGAATCAATAAATCTCCTATGGGAAGAAAATTAAGCATTTTTTTTTTTTGTGAAAATTAATAAATTAGTTGTTCTTAAATTACATTCTATTCTATGTGTGCAGATGTACATTTTCTGTTGTTTCCCATTTTTGTATTTAGTACAAACATATGGCAAAGGCTAGTTTGCCTGTTAAAATAGGTAAGAATCAGACAATAGTTCTGAACTAAGAGCCACATCAAATATGTTTTGAACTGAAACAATCTTTCCATTATTCAAGAGAAGCAAAGTCAATCCCAAACTACAGAATCCTATGGATATATGGTGGGAAAGCCAAGCAATTCCTAAGGTTTATATTTACTAGGCTATTGTAAAATCCTATGTTAACAGTTGGACATCTATACAAATCCATAGTTAGAGATAGCAGTAGGTAGATAGAAGTCCATAGTTAATAATAACTTAAGGCAAACAAACAGCCAAAAAACATTTTGTCTAACCAGGCTAGAAAAATCAAAATATGCCTGTTAAATGAAACACACTGAGAACAGGACAAAACTTCTGTATTCTTTACGTGCCATTCTAGCTGGTCACTGCTTACCTCCCTCCTTCAATATATCAACGTAGTTCCGCACCTCTAGAGTCCTTCTGCCAGCCAAACTCAGATACTCAGCTTCAGAAGAAAACGCCGCTATTCCTGCTGTGCTGCCCGTGCCCGCAGGCTGCAGCACCTCATGTGCTGGCATTTTGTGCCCTCCAGCGGTGCCTGCGGTGCTGGGCGGAGGGACCCCCCCTGGGCTGTGGGCAGAGGGGAGGGAGCTCCCACAGCTGCACACCCGCATGGAGCCACACTGGGTGGCAACATCCACTTTCTCTACTGCTGTTACAGAGCTCTCCGTCTGCGACCAAACTTCACACCTGGTACTGAGAGTGACACGCTCTCTTTTAAGGGCTGGGTGTAATGAGCTGCCCTCAGATGGGGCAGTGTGGTTTTCATTTTCCTCCTCTGTGGCACATAAAATAGACTCTTTCTCCCGAAGATGGTTTGCTTCGTCTCTAGTCAAAATACTGCTGGGCTGGAGAGGCATGGTTGTGGTGTGAGAGGTCTTGGGGGACTCTGTGCTTGCTGAGGCCGAGACTAGGCTGGCGTCGTTGATCTTCAGGGACTGTTCATTCAGATATTCCTTCTTTTTGACTGTGTCTTCTTCTTCAGACTGTTTGAACAGAAGTGTGTGAAAGCAACTGTTTAAACAGACTTGTGTGAATGCAACTGTTTAAATAGTTCAATAACTAAGGACTAAGTTAATGACTAGCTAATAACTAAGTTAATGAAATAAACAGAAAGGCCAGAACTGTCTGGTTTTGGTTGTTTGGGGTTTTTTTTCATTCTTTCTCCAAGGGTGCACTCCTGGCCTTTGTTGAAGAGAAGGTGAGTAAGGTAGACCTTTACTCTCACACAAAATTTATATTATTACATTGTGGCATTTTTGTGTTCAAGAATGGCTGAAAAACACACAGTGTGTCAAATCCTCCTGCCTTACAGGCATGTAATGTAAGGCAGATATACATCAACGAAGAACGCAGAAGCTTGCTTAGCACCTCCCCACAGTCATGTTACTGTAATTCTACAAGGCCTGTGTTATCAAGAGACCAGACCACACGTCTGTGAAACTACTTAGGAAAATTTACAGCTCAACATTTCTTGTCTTCCTCATGCATGAAGTTGCCTTGTACAAAACAAAACCATAAATAAGATTCCAGCTACATCCACCCTTAGATGCACTCAGGCATACAGATATCATTCAAATGAACCCCTGCAAACCTATAAAGGGGCAGTACCCACTGTGTCAGGACTAGAGCTGAAACAGCTCTCTGTCTGCCTTGGAGAGTAGCAGGGGGACTGACTGCTGAGTGAGGACTCCACATCTGAAAAAGGAGATGAAAAGGAAAGAAAGCTTACTCACCAGAAATTCCCCAAACATCCAACTCCCAAGTACAGCATACAGAACTAAACATTACTACTTCTGGTGCACTTTTAAGATACTTTTTAAAGAATAAATTGTTAGCAAGGTCAATCTAGTTCTTGGCAATAGCCAATTCTTTTCCTCTCAGGACAACACATCTTAACAGAAAGTGTGAAATGGGTGCCCCAAAGCTTCAGCTATGCTGTTAATCAGCAGCGTGCACCAGCAGCAGAACCGTGCTACCCAAAAGGATGAAGGACTCTGTAGAGCAAGGGCAGGGAGAGAACACAGCAAACCCCCTGCACATATTGGCTGCCATACAAGTTACATATTTTTTCTCTTGGAGGTCCTAGTGAGATCTTCTGCTCTGAAATGCAGCCAGCACAGCTGACCACTACAGCTACTGAGGAAGCAAAAAGGAGCTGACTCCCCTCTGTCCACATGTGGAATGACAGCATATAGTCTAGTGGAAGAGAATAAAGATTAGTAAAGACTGGACCAGTAAAATGGCACATGTCAAAAATCTAATGAAGATATTAATTAATACAGAAAACATGTCCAAGTTTTCTTCCAATCAGCTGAGGGCTGCAGGAATAGAAAGAAAGAAAATGACTGGCATTTACTTGGCAGTTTTACTATATGGTGATGTTAGTAAACTTGAGTTGTGGTGTTCAGATTAATACTCTTGACCTCTCTCATGGATATTTTTTTTTTTTTTTTTCAGCAGTTACCCCCTACTTTCAGACCTGGCTTTTCAGTTTAGGGGACAACTTTGGAGGAAATGGGACAATGAAAAATATGTGTGTAATACTCACCAGAGAGAAGTTAACCTGAATTTACCTCTTCAATGTAAAGCAAACAGAGATAGTTCTTAGTTACCTGGTAATGCTAGTCTTTATACAGCGCTGCATGAATCAAAAAATACAAGCCCTCATCAAATGTAACATCCTAAAAAGATCAAAACACTTCTTCCTGGCTTTAAAAGTAACTGTTTCAGTTTCACATGTAGAGAAAAATCTGATTTTTTAATTAATAAGGTATAAATGGTACTAACCCTTCTCCATCTCGTGAAGACTGGAACTCACTCCAAACTTATACTCTTTCTCTTGTGCTGTTGTGAACTTTTAAAAATGATTAAGTGTTAATAGTGAGGATTCAGCTGGATCAGCACCTCAGGTTACATGAGGAACATTCAGTTTCTGTATTACATAAAGGAGTCACTGCACTGTGCCGCAAATTATTTTAAGAGGTACAAAACCTCTGAGCAATACTGTATGTACCTGGGTGACTTCTATGGGCAAAATATCTAAAAGATTCCGTATATGTATACTGGCATAAAGCTCCTTTACAATACTGAAGTGTCCTGCATACAATGTCTGGGCACTGCCTCCAGAATCTGATCCTAAGGGTTAATGGGTAACTTACAAAACGTATTTATTTCAGGCATCAGCTTAGGTGTAAATCAAACCATGTAAATTATGGCCCTGAAAGGACTAACTGAACCACTTAACTAGAAGCTGTTCTTTCTGAATTCTTTATATAAACCATGATGGAAAAGAAGCTTCCACAGAAGTTAATTAAGTGAAGCTAAATTCAGTTTCTAAATGTTGTGGACATTCCTTCTACACCTCGAATGAATGGTGCAAACAGTAGGTTTGACAAAAAATATGTCTCTTTAAAAAGTTACCTCTTCAAATCCAAAGAGCTGCTTCTGTCTCCAGGCTGATTCTTGTGCAGACTCCACGTCACTGAGGGATGGAAACACAGAGTTCTCCGGTAAGTGATTTCCTCTCCTGTACTTTTATTTTCTTTCCAAATTAAAGTCATTACTGGTGACTTCTTTGTCTTCAATTTTTATTTTGTCTTCAGTAACCATGAAATGCTTCCCACTATTGAGATCATTAAACTTATTTCTGAACTTGAGATTTTACACCAAGAATCTGTTTTTCACAAAATTTACTTCTGTTGAAATGCAAAATGTAATATGAGAGATCACAGAAGATAGTGCTGCTTTGTAAAATGGAAGGTGCTATGGATTGGACCCTTTGATAAAACCATCTTTTGTAAAACACAGGGCACTTACTTACTTACTTACATATGCTAACTTTAGCCCAGACACTAACTTCCTCTGTAGTCAGTGGAAGGAGACAGGGTCTTTTAGAGGGCAAGTCAGAGCAACAGCTTAAATTCAGGGACTCAAAACTGTCCCATGAAGAAGTCTTTCTCTGTACTTACTATAGGCAGATGAACAATGGTATAAAGGGCTTACCCATGCATAAGTTTATTCACTACTGTTTACACTGGGAAAACACCAGACCTCAGTAATACTGTTTAGAATTTTGCCTTCATGTCCTATCAGCAGGATTTCTCGAATTCAGCAAGGTCTCTACAGTTATCACTAATGGATTGATAATTTCTACAGCACTCACCTTTTTGTTCTTGAATAGTTCTGCACATTCTCCTTTAAATTAATCTGCTGATCATGGTGATAAGCAAATGTCTCTAGAATAAAAAAGGAAACCTTGACTTTAAAATGCAATAGCATAAACTCAATTTGAAAACAAATGCTTCTGTCAATTTTTAAAACTAATTTAAATAATTGGATTTAAAATTAAATTACTGCATTCTGAAGATTCATTATATGTTTTTGTTCAGGGAAGATATATCTCTGGTTATAAAACCTTTAAAAGGAGAATAAAACCCAGAATATATGTTCTTAAAATATTGTCACGCACCAATTTTTTCAAGGTTTGCTGTTTTTTCTTTCTTTTCAGAAGGTATGAAGTAGTGCTGCCCCTCATGAGAGTCCTGCAGGTGGGTTTTATGAAGTTCACTGGTTTTCTTGTAGCTTGCATTTGAGGCATTGTTACTTTTAAGTAAAACCTGTTCTGGAGCTGTGAAAATGCCTTCAAGGTGTCTATCTACAGAACTTTTTTTTGCATTCATTGCAGAATAATCCTCTCTACTATAATAAGGATAATTTCTGTTGGTCATTTGATTTCTATCATCAGGATCAATGAAAAAAATGGCAGTACTGCTTTGATTAACAACAGGATTAAAATGCTTTGTGGAAGGATTATTATAGGTTAGTTGGCTCTCATCTTCAAACAGTGCCAGAAAGGAAAAATCACTTCCATCTTCGGGAGGTTTCAGTTCTGCAGTTTCTTTCACAACATCAAACAATGGTTCTTTCATTCCTTCACTGTTTTCTGATTCATTACTGGTCATTATCACTGGATATTTCCTGGCAGAATTCATATAGTCTAGCCTGGAGATGGAGGATGAGGTGGAAGGGGGGTTAGAAAAGAAAAAATAGTTTGCTCAGTACATAAATAAGCAAAATACTAACTGCTAAAACAACAAATTATGATAACTTGGTGATAAAAGTCTCAAAGACTTTACTGCTCATCACACTTGCTTTTGTCCCAAATGTACATTACTTCAACTGAAAAAAGTGTTCTGTATTTTATTTCCACTTTATAGTAAGGTTGATTTAAAAGGAGTTCTGTTTCATGATGTCTCCAAACATACCAAGCCATGGAGCACACCCCTGAGTAGGGAACTGTGATTTATAAAATCAGCCACAGTATGTCACTGCTGCTCCACCAGCTGACCAAAGAAGGCCACTTTGGGGGAAAAAAAAAGAAAAAGAGGAAAATGGCTTCTTCCTTCATAAAAATAGTTTGTTCTTCGAGACTACAGTTCGCTCCTATAAGCCCATAAGCAGCTCTGTGTACTCCTTAATTCCTGGTCTTTTAGCAAGTGACTGCCATTTGTACTTGGGTTCATTAATCCTAATTCAGCACAGAATTTTTCTATTTCACTGTCAGGAGGCCCATCAGACATTTTCTTTTGCCCATACTTCCCTACCCCACTTCTGATAGTAGTGGTTTTGATATCATATCATGCTAGCATCCTTAGCATGAAAGCTATCATGTTTTCACTTACTTGGCTCTTAATCTAACATTTTCACTGCTTTTTTCTAGGCTTGATCTGCTGACTGACCTTTCAGAAAATCTGAGCAACAAGTTGAGAGGCTTCTGAAGCACAGATAATTGGCAAAAAGGCAGCCATTCAAAAAAGAATGCTCTTTCTTTAAAAACTTTTGAGCAATGCTATCAATGGAACTTGAAAACTGAAATGTAGTACAGAAAGCTCTTACTGGAGAAAAATTCTATAATGTTTTGATCAGCAAATACTTGGAACTGGATAAAGAGCCTAGAGAAGTTAAATGAGAAAGTAGTGTCCTCTACTTACAGAAAGCTCACCAGAACAGTTTTAAAAGGCTAAACACACTGGAGTCTGTTTCTCAAGAAACCTGGATAGATCTACATGAGGAAGGTAAAACCATTTTGTGAAGCAATTCAGAGGCTTCTTCTTCACTCCAGCTGAACATTTTGTAATGATAAATAAAAGTTAGTAGTAGATGAGGAAATAAGACATCTAAAATTTTTAGTTAATATTTAATGATCTTGAGGCACCACAGCTCTCAGACGTATGCACATCGATTACCTCATCAGTGTATTACAATTACATTAAACAATTGTATAAGTTTATACTCTACTTTTCATGTACAGCAAAAGAAACTCCCTTCCCAGAAGAACTGCCAGCTCTTGAGGTCTGAGAATTTATGGCTACAATGGGTGAAAACAAAACAAGGATGATATAGAAAGAAATGGATTTGAAGGAAAGATGGAAATGAGATGTTAGTGAGCCATGAATGGGCAGAGGACTAAGGGAGGTGCCATAAGTACATGAGTGCAGGCCTGAGGGCCTGTGGAGAAATGAAAGGGGAGACGTAGGTGAGATAACCTTATGTAGGGCTTTAATGTAAAGCTATTCATTGGGAATTCACCAAGATATACAGCAAGGTGAATGTTATCCTCATTTTAGGTTTTGCTGGAGAAAGCCGGGAGAAGCTGGGAGAAGAGAGAAAGAGAAAGTTAAGGTGGCTAAGACTGGAAACTGATGTGTTCATCTAGTTATCATGTGGTCAGTGAGCTTATCAGTCACTTGACTCCCCAGGCAAACAGGCTGTAGGTATTTCAGGAAGAGCAAAATAATATATGGCCTTTTTATGGCTCTATCCAGCCAAAGCTAGGGACTGACAGGAACTTTCAACCAGATGGCAGACTTACAGAATAAAAAAAATATATATAAAGATTAGCCCTTTAAGACCTCTAGATCCAAGGGAAGAGCCACTGGAAAGAAATTGAAATAAAATGTTCAGTATAAATGAGTCTGGAGCTAAACCCCCTGTGATTAAAAAGATTTTTAATCAGTGCTTACAAAAAGAAATATATTCTAGATTTCTATCCATTCTTTTAAAAAGAAAATGTATATTCTCATAAAAGTATTACTGAACCAATTCTAAAAAAAAAAAAAAAAAAGCTATAGTAGGATCACATATGAACATATGAAAGAGAAGGAAAGAAAATGCTTTGTTCCTGGAATCCCAAATGTAAACAATGTAGGTGAAGTTGCTCAATTGCTGCAGCATCAAGGTCATCAGAAAAGCACTTGCAACAGTGACCGGAACTAATGAAAGCTGGGGCAGCTACCCCCCCTGCGGCCTCTTAGTAAATCTATGCTTCTCAGGTGGGGTGAATTCAGTAACACCATCATGTTTGTGATGTTGCAAAAAATAGATCATGGCTCCAAGTGCCTACCTAAAATTAACATTTTTCTGCCTTTCAACAAATTTAAATATCTTGGTACGTTCAGTCTTTCCATTTAATTTCAATTTATATTTGAAAAGCACCAAAAATCAGTGAAAAATTAAGTAGCAATTAGCTTCATATTATCTTAGTATTTTTCTTACTTAAACTTGATTGTTATTTCTCTCTTTAAGGTAAAATCACTGCCTACCTATGCAATGGCTTAAACAGTTCCTGAGGCACTGTACCAGACTTCCTGAAAATACACTGGCTTAGAGGTTTTGTAATCCAAGAGTCTTGATCAGAACTATTTTCTGGCTGAGAAAACAGAGGCAGCTGTCAAACTCTGAATATATATAATAGTTACAGTGTTTAAAACTTTCAAGTTGGGCTTGCAAACAATATACATGTTTTCCCACTATTTTTACTTCTGTTTATCTTTACAGTAGAAGCCCAAACCTCCTTACATCCTGAATTCTGTATAACTCATACTTTTCCATATTTGCATATCACTATTAATATGTAAAATGTCCTTTTAGCACCCCATCGTCCCATAGTATGAACAAGCTTGATAGACTGTAACAAGCTGACTGTTCCACTGAAGATCACATAATTATAGAAAGCTGTTGTCTGGAAGGGACCTCAAGAGGTATCTAGCCCAACCTGCTCAAAGTAGGGCCAGCTTCAACCTTATACCAGATTGTTCAGGACTGAGATTCCACAAACTTTGGATGGCCTCTTCTGGTGCTTAGCTACTTTTGTGACAATATTTTTTCCTATATGAACAGAATTTCCATTGTTGAAACTTGAAACTTTTACTTCTTGCCATTTCACTCTGTACCTCTGGCTCTGTCCTGTCTGTAACTGTTTAGACTGTGGAAGACAGCAGTTAGTTCACCCCACACCCCCATAGCCTTCTCTTTCCCAGGCTATGAAAACCCTCTTCATTCAGTGTCTCCACATGCATCATGTGCTGCAACCTCCTAACAATTTTTGTGGCCCTTCTTTGGCCTTGCTACAGTTTTTTGATCTCTCTCTTATACAGGGTGTCCCAAAACTGGACACAGTATTTCAGATGTGTTCTCACATACGCTGTGCAGAGGGAAATAATCACTTGCCTTTGACTGCTGGGTATGCTCTTTCTTATACAGCCCTCTACGCAGTTGGCCTTCACTGCTACAAGGGCACACTGCTGACTCATGTACAACTTGTTGTCCACCAGCACCCTCAGGTCCTTCTCTGCAAAATTGCTGCCTACTCAGTTGGTCCCCACCTGCATTGATGCGTGGCATTATTTCTCCCAAGGTGCAGGGCTTTGCATTTCTCTGTGTTAAACCCTATGAAGTTCCCGGTGACCTTCTGCTTGTCAAGATCCCTCTGAGTAGCAGCCCTGCTACTGTAATGATCTCTCTGCCAATTTGGTGTCATTCATGACCTGTTGAGGTGCTGAGGGTGCATTCTGTCCCAATGTCCAACTCTCTAATGAAGATGTACCTGACTTAGAATTAATGTCTGGAGATCCCTGCTATTACTGACCTCTTGCCGATTAGACTTTAGCTGACAGACAACTACTTTGAGCATGATGGTAACAGCCAGTTTTTTACCCATCTTATTGTCCACTCATCTGGTTCATACCTCCCCACTTTGGCTACTAGGATCACATGGAAAATCTTGTCAAAAGCCTTCCTAAAGTCAAGGTAAACAATATCTGCTGCTCTCCCTTATTCATAGAGCTAGTAATTTCATCACAGAAGGCAATCAGGTTCATCAGGCATGGTATGGCCTTGGTAAATCTATGATGGCTGTTCCCAGTCACCTTCTTGTTCTTCATGTACCATGGAACTGCCTCTGGGAGGCCTAGCTTCATAATCCTTTCAGGGACAAAGGCAAGATGATATTCCCCCAGATCACGCTGTTTTTGCAGATGGGCTTAACATTTGTCCATTTCTTGTCACTGAGAAGCTTTCACCATAGAAAGCTGAGGAGCTGATCACCACAGTCTTTCGAAGATGACAGACATCTGCCCTGCAGTGATGTCTTAGGAAAAATTACTTTACTGAAAGGGTTGTCAGGCATTGGAACAGGCTGCCCAGGGAAGGGGTTGAGTCACCATCCCTGGAGGTATTCTAAAAGTGCGTAGACAAGGCACTTCAGGACATGGTTTAGTGGCCATGGTTGACGGTTGGACTCAATGATCTTAAAGGTCTTTTCCAACCTAAATGATTCTTTGATTCTATGATTCTGTCATCTAACTCCCTCAATATAGTTGGATGCACCCTGTCCAGTCCCATCTATTTCTTTATGTCCAGGTTACTAAGGATTCCCTAACTTGTTCCTTCACTACTGTTTTGTACCACTCTCCCCAAAACTCTCTACTGAGCTTGAAGATGTGCCAAAGAACAGACTTTGTCAGAAAAGCCTGAAGCAAAGTAGGTCTCGAGTGCCTCAGACTTCTCCATGTCCTTTGTCACTAGGTCTCAACTCTATCTAGCAGTGGACAGCATTTTCCTTGGTTTCCTTTTGCTGATGACATACCTATAGAAGTCCTTCTTGCTGCCCTTCTCATCCCTTCTGAGTTTCAGTTCTGACCATCCTAATGCCACCCCTCCAAGCTCAGGGGATGCTTCTGTATTCTTCCTGGGCTGTCCGTCCTTCCCTCCACACTTCCTTTTTGCATTTGAGCTCTGTCAGGAGTTCCCTGATTCAGCCAAACTGGCCTCCAGGACCTACTCATTCTCTTGCACATTGAGGTGGACTGTCCTTGTGTTTTGAAAACACCTTTCTTGGGCTCCTTTGTCCTTTAGGTCAGTTTCCTGTGGGTTTCTGCCTACTCCTTCCATGAACAATGCAACATTTGCCCTTCTGAAGCCCTGAAGTACTCCTTCCGCACTTAGGTCAAGACTTTAAAATACCACTGGTGATACATATAGAATTTGGTTTATTATTTTCAATAAATAATATATTTTCTAAAAATAAAGCATATTATATTTGCTCTTACTTTTCTAAGGATGATTCTTTTAAGAACCTCAAAGTGAACAAAAAGAAAAAAATAGTAACATGCATCAGAAGAAATAACTTTCAATCATTTCTTAAACTTAACTTGAATTAAACAGCAGGCTTTTCTCAATCCCTTTAGGAGCATTGAGAATACTGTAAGAACTGTGTTTCCCACTGAGACACTACATCATTACAAATTAGGTCACAGTGATCACCTGGGATCATACAATACCCAGTTATACTAATTATACATTTAAGAAAGCTGTATTTATAACTAATACATTTAAGCTTTCTTTAACCAACTTTACAAGCAAGAAACAAAAGAAAGCCAGTGGTATGTGACTAACTCTCTTTCTGCAGATATCAGTGATACTGAGCTCAGTGAACAAAAGCTCAAGTTAAACATATTTCATAGCAATTAAACAAATATATTTGTAAATATGGAATATTCCTTGCCAGCCTACAAGAAATGTTGATCATTCATAATTGTCTTTACTATTACACTAATTCTACACCCCAAATAAATGAAAGTTAGTTTAAAATAATTCTGTGGAAATGACCTGGTTTTGCAGCTTCTCTTCATATGTCTGTTCCCAAGTGTTGCCCATTAGGTTTGTGTTGAAATTTTCTTCCGAAAATTGTGTACAGTTAGAGGACCAAAAAACAGAAGACGACAATGGACAGACATCAAAAGCTCTTGCTATGTTGTCTTCATGTTCCATACTAGAGTCAGCATACATTAATTCTGTTACATGTGATAACTAGACAAAATATAGCAAAGAAACATTTATTTATCTAAAACTGTTTTGTTGTAAGCATAAAGTTCAAAGTAATCAAACCTTTCTATATCTTTTACATCTCTGCACATATACCACATGCAAGAGAAAATTTTCATGTATTCTGATATGATTTTTTCATGAAAAACATAGGGTAATAAGGGCTTATTTCAGGGAAACACAGAAGTACCTACTTAAGTTGAAGCATGCACACAAATGTTATCATGAGGAAAGATAGGTATAAATACATTTTTAGCTTTAGATGTGTAGGTAAATGATCTGCTGACTTGGTTCTTAAGTAGTAAAATGAAGAATATTTTACTCCATTGAGCAGAGAGCTCCAGCATGTTGTGATACTAACAATGCTATATCAAGCAGATCAGAACACAAGGAGAAATTTGAAGGCAAAGCTCATGAAATGTCACTGTATCCATAGCTACATGGAAGTAATGCCTGTAATCCAGCTTATCAAGCGACAGAAGCACAAACTACTAATGGAGTGCAAAAGTCTTGTACATTAATTGCACAAAATCTTCGTACCACAAAACTGTAAGTTTCCAGAAAGCTGAAAATTATGAATTGTATAGCCCCTCTTTCTGTTTAATAAAGTGAATACATCTTAATTACTTAAATTGGATATACTTCAATTTACAAAGATTTTAAAAACAGTTCTTTGCAACATACAGGCCTTAGACTTTATTTTTTGATCCATACATTAAATTAGATTTCTGGATGTGCAATACTGCATTATCATGTGTTTTGACGAACTGGTATAAATCTGTCCATACAAGGGAAGGTTGAAGACAAACTTAGCTATCATTTTGATCCATTATTTCTGGCCACACTAAATCTGAAATATGTCCTCTCTGTCTTCAAGAAACAGATGAAAAAGAGTCATAAGGGAAGGCTGACTTAATGCAATATCCAAGAAAGTAGTGGCAGCTCACGTGATCTTGGCTAAAACACATTAGACAGGTAAACTTTTCACTCATACTAAGTAATTCTTCCTGACTCAAAAGAAAGGAACTTCTAACACTAGAAAAACATCTGTCTCTCTCACTCTAGGAAAAGATGCTTTGGCAACATGAATGGGCCAAGAACATACAGAACAATACTGTGCAAGCATCTTTTCCTCAGAGTCCTATCTGATACAAACAGCCGGAGTCAGTGGAGCTATATTATCAAGCAAGTCTGAGTAACGTAAACTAACTGTCTTCTAACAGATTTACTAACTTTTTGTTGTTGTTGTTTAGTTGGGTTTTTATGCAACAGTGGAATGGGTCATTAAAAAAAAGCCTAAATTCCATCTAGAGAATGTTTTTCACTGCAACCTCAGTGAGTGTACGAACTTCCCAGTTGTATCCACTGAGACTTGTACTTAAGTTCCTGTAAAGACTCACTTTTGTCTATGCTTCTCACATTTCATCATTTCACATTTCTGCATATTGTTTTTAATTTACCTGCTGTTGGCTTCAGTCTCTTTCCCATAATCTCTGTCCTTTGTGACTAGCTTAGAGCACAGATATTCTTAAGTATTTTAGAAAATGCCTAAAACAAGGTGAGCTTTTCAAGAAATATGTAAGAAATAGCATGAACAAATATAAAATATGATTGGCAAATAACATATCAATATAGCCTTAAAGAGGAAGACTTCACATGTTTCAGTATCCATGAGATTTGGTCACTCTTTGAAAAATCACTTAAAAATACAGTCATTGCTGCACATTTTTAGCTTTACATCGGTGAGAACAATAAACTTACTTACGTTATTCTGGTATTTTACTTTCTCTGAGAGATGCTGCCTTCTGCTGTCCAATACTTGCTTTTGTAACCTTGTAAAATGAATAAAAACAGCCTATGAAATACAAGATATAAGATTTATAAGATCAAAAACATTCTGAGTATTAATTTCAAAATAATTTAAGAATATTTTTCCACACATCCTAAGAAGGCCTGATTCTTAAGCAGTTATGAGCAGCCAGTGTGTGTGGCAGTCACTTTAGAGGGTCTGAAGTTGGATAGGAAAACTGTGTAAGTGGAAAATGCTGTTTGAATACCCTGCTCTGTGAGATAAACTTAGTGTATGTACCTGACATGAGTAAAGAAACATTTTTTCTTTTTTTAAATCTCTCAGCTTCATGTACAGTTTTTTATTTAGAATACATTTATTTAATCTCTCATAGTGTCACTGGAATGCCAGGAGTGATTGTGAAACTTCTTCATCTTATAATCATATATTTATGTTTACTTAATACCCCAAATATAAGACCATCATGAAATAACTTTTCCAGAACTTCATTATAGCTTAACTACTGCCTACTTTATACAAGTACCTGTTCTGGATGTCATCTAAGTTTGACCTATGTTGCGTACGTAGTGGTGACACAGGAAGCTCAATGTTGTGCCTCTTAACGGGTATTTTTACATCTTCAGTGATATCAATGTGGACTGGCTTCCTCAGGTTCTCTGCAATGAAAGTATTTGGAATGTCAGTGCTGGGCTTGGAGAAAGTTTTGAGCTTCCTGAATTTTCATTAGAGTACAAAAGCTGTTGGTTTAGGTTTCTTAATACATTTAAAGCCACATTTTTTGCTTCTTTTGTTACTAGCAATGCAAGAGCTCTATTCTAAATGGCATTATAGTATAAAATTATCTATGGTCAGCTTCTGTGTGTAGACAGGCTCTGTTGCCCTCCTCAGTCACTTTCTAATCTTCCTGAGCATAGGACAACAAATTCTCCACAATCTGGTTTATGAATATGTCACAGAGATAAGTATCATAGAATCATAGAATCTTTTAGGTTGGAAAAGACCTTTAAGATCATTGAGTCCAACCGTTAACCTAACACTGCCAAGTGCATCACTAAACCATGTCCCTAAGCCCCACATCTACATGTGAAGAGTTGGAACTCAAGTTATAGAGATGTTTTTTTAGGAGCTTAATGATGGATTTTAAGAAAGATACTCTGGGTAGAACTGACAGACTATTCCAAATGCCCCCCAAAAGTTATGAAAGAGGAAGTGGAATACAAATGGACCCATTCAATGGCAAAGGGTAAAAGAAATGGATGTAGGGTAAAATTAATGAATGGAAGGAGGAGGGTGCATAAGTGTAGAAGGCTTTAAAGGTGAAGTAGGCAGTAGGCAAGGTGACTTGATTCCTCTTATGTCCTGACTTTTTATTCAATCATAGTTTTTGTATTTACTTAAAATTTTTTATTTTAAAAATAAAGCAACACTTATTTGAGCATTAAGTTATAAGCAGAAGAACAAGAACTAAAATAATAGCAGTAATAGTTAAGGATAACTGATTCTGTTAACTGTGAAGTCAGAACACTGTTACACTAAACTCACCGGTGTTGTCTTTTTTGGTTGATATCTGGTTAACAACATATAGATTGAGGAGATCTAAACTGACTGCTGAACTTTTAGGAGATGATACTCCCACAAGCTTCATCTTTGATTTAAGTTTCTTCTTTTCAAAAAATTCCTAATTTTTTAAAAGAGAGAATAAGTTTTTGACAGAAGCTTCAACAACACGTTAGCAGCGTATATAATTCTTTTGAACTTAGCATGCAAGACTTAGTAAACAATTCCTAATAATAAAAACACATGATTAAATCTCTCTGAATTCTCACACCCTGCCTACTGTTATTTAGTTTATTTTTATTGCCTTGAAAAGGACTGCAAGTATAATTTGCTTATCGTCAAAATAAACCACTGTTCTCTTGATGCCAAAAATTTAGTCCTTAAACACTCATGCCTCAAACTTTGCCTATGATAATTAAAAATATTTCTTTAAAATAAAAGACATACCAAAACGCTGCAAGGAAAAAGTCCTTAAAAAATTTAAACTCAGGCTTTTTAGGCAGCTTATAAACTAGTAGGCAAGTAAATCACCAAGATTAAATACACACAGCCATCTATAATGACACAAAGAGTTTATTGTTCTCCAAATTTGTCTTTCTCAACATAGAAAATAGTCTTGTGACAAAAAAAAAAAAAAAAGAGAAAAAAGTAAAGAAGAAAAATCTCTAAGACTGGGACTTCAGAAAGGCTTTTTGATGCAAGGAATAAGAAGAGATATGACTGACACTTCGAGTATATCAGGCAGATATTTCTGGAAAATTTAGGAAACAAAAATCTCAATTTTGTAGGAGACTATTAATAATTGTCCTAAAATTATTAGCATCAAGCACAGCACATGAATAAATAAAACCAGTATGATTTCTTTATTTTAACCACAAGAAGGATATTGAAAACTGAAGGCAATGCCAAAACACAAAATAGCATTGGCTTTTCTTCTGAAATGTAATTCCTCTCATGATTGCAGGTTATATGTAACTAATATACCCAACATGTTCATTGGTAACTATTTTCCAGTATAATTTATTGTATCACAATCTTTAGCTTTCTAGGATGTTATCATCTATGGAAAATACCTGTTCTTCAGTTAGGAAGAGTATCAGCAATAAAGTAAATTCAGCTTGTGTACTAATTAATACTTCAAAATTTGTATTGCTTTGGAGTCCACACTCCCAAAATGTATCCATGTCACTTCAATGTCCCAGCTATTTTCTTCCCGTCACCTCTAAATTACTAAATTACTATTAAATGTGTAATAGCAATTACAAAATTACCACTGTGTTTAGTTATTTAGTAATTTAGTACTAAATTACTAAACACAATCCTGTCTTGGATCCTTTCCTGTTTTCTCTCCTCCACTGAAGCAAATTACACAGTTGTAATGTAAATTATGTGGCTTAGACCAATAAATCCCTGAGAAAACAGGTATTTTGAGAACTCACAAGCCTCCAGGAGACTGGGAAAGCGAGGGAGACAACAAGCTGCTCAGTGCTCCCACATTCCCTTAGGCAAAGGTTTTCATTTCAGAGATTGTCTCCATACTGTCAGCCTGTTTTTCCTCCTCCTCTATATGCCAATGCATCTGCTCTGCGCATTGTAGGGTACTAGCTTTGGTGGTGGAGCTTCCCTGTACTGCCTCTTTTTTCCCTGCTGCTGAGGAGTAAACTGACCTCTCTTACTATGGTTCTAACTATTTTCTCTTACTGTTTTCTTTCTTCCCTGTTTGAAATGTCTTCTGCTATGCCAGGGATAAATTTGATTCTATTATTTCACTTTCAGATTCAAAATACAAATAAGTTGGCCTACTTTTGCAAATGCCAGAATAAAGTACTTCAATGAGCCTAACATTCTTTTATGTAGCCCAGAAAAATAGCTGTGTATATGTGTGTTAGGCTAGCTGACCACGTGGTTGTCACTGTGAGGCTTCAAGCAATCCCATGTGTCAGCACATACCAACAAAATATAGTAACAGAAGTAATTCAGTAAAACTTAAATTGGGCACATTCATTCATTCATGCCTTCTCCTACTCCCTCCTCTTCCTGCTGGAATTCAGTGTAGTAAACCTAAAGACTTCTGCCCTAAAAGCTACTTGCAGTCAGGCAAACACATTACAACTGTTATGCTAGAGTTTTGAGTCTCACTCCAAATGCTTTGAAAGTTTTTCCTAAGTGAATCAATTAAAGCATTTATGTAACAATATAAAATCCAAGATAGCTAGAACTGTTTACCTTTTGCTTTCTTCTTTCCTGCTTTAATATGATTCTGCTCCTGAAAGAGGCGAGTAATTATTTTTTTAATTGTAAAACTATAATCTTGAGTCATGGCCTGAATTTCTTTCTCATCAACGGTATTGAGAATTTAGGACACAAATGTTATGTTATGTTATGTTATAATGGATCAAACCCTCAGGTAGTAAAGTCAACATATCTCTGTTGAAGTGCCTTTGACTGATTCTGGTTTACTCAGGCAAGGATAGGACCACATTCCATCTTAGGGCTACCAAATACATTGAACATTCTGAAGGAAAAGCTTTTAGGTATTTGATCTGTAATGCAGCATTTCATCAATTCTTAATTTCTTAAAACATTATGAGAAATCTTTGTCAATATATTAATTTCTCCTAATTTTCTTTGTCATGCTGCAACATAGTTATAAAACCATATTAGCAAAGAAAACAAAGCAGCACAGTACAAGTTTCTACCTTATGGGACTTTACAGAATATTGTGAACATTTTGTAAAAAAGGTAAGAAAAATAGATTGTCACTACAAGTTTTATAAATCTGCTGTTGTTTGTGCAATATAGGAGACAGTTACACCTTAAACTACATATCTCACTTGTTAAACATAGTCTTAAATGAATTGCCTACAGGACATGGTGCATAAAATTGGAGCTCTGGGTCACTGCTGTGAGCAGTGTGAGCATGGCTGCAATCCTTGGGTCAGTAAGATTAGGACATTTTTAGGGGAGTTAGAAATATGAAGTATCCCCTTGGAATTACATTTTTTTCTTTTTTTTTTTTTTTTAATTGTGCTGAAAGTTAGAATGCACTTTCTAAACATATGCACATAATATTTACCCTAGCAGTGGGTAGAAGCCCCAGTAATGGATAGTTTTCCTGACAACTAAAATGCAAATCCCAGACTCAGGCGAGGAATCCTGACAGATAATTAACAGCAGCAGAAAGCAGCAGGGTGATTTGCTATTTGCTAAGTGAGTGCAATACTCCTACACACTGCTTTTTCTTCCAGACAGAATAGTATGATAGACAGGTGTTTAGAACAAAGTTAGTGGATTTTTTTTTTTTTTTCCCAAACTGAAGCTGTCCCTTTCCCTGCTTCACATAGGCAACTTTCAGAAACCTCATTTTGCTGGGAAGACTTCCAGATGGATGTGGCATTCTTTTAGTTTGATTCTGCATAGAATTAGGATGATTATAAAGCTGTGTTTAGTAAAGCTGCTTTCAAATGGCTGACAAAATCTGTGGGGTTTAAATTTCTAGTAGGCAGGCAGATGGCACAGCACCTAAAGAAACTGAATATCATCCTTTTTTTTTAACATTACAACTCAGTTGGTGATTATTTTACTATTTCAGTGAATCTCAGTTAACTATACATCTTTCTCCCCAAATTGTAATCACTGCCATTCACGAGGGCATGAGGAAAGGCCTAGGCAGGAGAGCCTCACCCAGCCCCAGCCTGCAGAGAGATATTAGGCCCAAACGCGAGCCACCCTGCCTGGTGTGGGGAGGCACCTGCGTCTCCTCACACAGTCTGGCTCACGAGGGGACATGGGGGCTGTCACACACACCATGGCCTGCTGGTCTGTGAGGGGACACCAGGGGTCTTACACACACCATGGCACTACTGGTCTGTCAAGAGACACTGGGGCTGTCACACGCACCATGGCTGTGGCCTGGTCTGTGAGGGGACACCAGGGATGTCACACCCACCATGGCCGTCACACCCACCATGGCCGTGCCCAGCCTGTGAGGGGACACTGGGGGGCTGTCACACGCACCATGGCTGTGCCTGGTCTGTGAGGGGATGCTGGCTCAGCATGGAGCCATTTCTAGCAGCCTTTGAAGAGTTTCACTCACCGGCTGCCACCAACCCAGTTCATTTTCTGCTGCTGAAGAAGGAGGGAGGGTTGCTGTGTGTGGTGCTGGGGATGGAGAGGGGAGGCAATGGCCACCACAGGGATGGTTTGCCACCTCCGTGCAGGGCCTCCTCCTCCCTGGGAGTGCCAGGGCAGCTGCTCTCCATGCCACCAGGCTGCCCAGTGCTGGCAGAGACAAGGGAGAGGGTGGTACAGGGACAGTCAGCAAAAGGAGGATGCAGAAAGCCAAGCGGGGCAGGCTAATGGGGAGGAGGCAATGCTCTTGTTGCTGCCACCCTTCCTCTACCACTGGCATTTCCATACAGGCTGCTGCTAGAAGCCATTGCCCTTTTGCAAGAGAATCACAAGGCTCTTGCTGTCTCAAGTGAATCAGATTCACAGTTATTGGAGTGTGGTACACAGCTGTTGTTGTTTTGTCTTTCAGGCCCAGCTTGTCACTGCTACAATCACCATAATTTTTAGGGCAAGAGAGAAGCACCTTCCTCCCCATCCTGCTCTTCCTCAGGTATTTTAGGGGCAATGGGGGAATCAATGAGCATTTTCTACTAGTAGGTGTTGTTGCCCCTCGAGCTGCCCCATGAGCTTTTGCTTCTAAATAGCGACAAACCCTTGAGGAGGGATACAGAGCTGCAGGTGCTCCCTGTGCTCCCGGGGCACCTCAGCAGCAACACAAGTCCCCTTGCTCCCTTCCCTGTGACTTACTGCCATCGTTTCAGCGAGTGAAAGCACCCATTTAGAAAACAACCATTAAAATTCTGTATTTTTCTTTTCCTGTGGTGTTTCTTTACTGAGTTATCTTTAGCCTAACATTTTTCAGGGTACTAATGTTTGATTGCCATTAGTACAACAATGTGAAGAGTGCTCAGAGCAGATATTAGGAGCCTAATATTAAAAATTACCCAAGTTTTTTTCTTTCTAAAACTTTTAATTTTGTGAGGTTGTTTATAGAATCCATAGCTAAAAGATTATAGAAGTGAAAAGATCTGCTTCTCTAAAATATCACCAATTAAACTGAATAAACTCATTGGACAGAATATTCTATCGTCAAGATATCGCCAGTATTTCTGATTAGTATGCATAATTGTTTCTTGTAACAACACCAGATTAAAATCTTCATAGTAAAATATATCTATATTTTAAGTGTGTGTGCCTCTAAAGCAATTATGACAGATGACAGACTGAAAGATTATTTAACTCTTTTCATCACCTGAAATAATCTTTTTTATTTTGTTTGCATTTCCACCTAGTGTAAATGTTTAACTTGTTAATACTATGTCTAAGAGGTAGTTTCAGGCATGACATAATCAAATCCCTTTTACTTTTGTTTTTCTAACATATGATATTTCTGTACCACCTTTACTCTTACTCTTCCACAGCATTACCTGGATTTAAAGGAAAAGACTGCACTTTTCTTTATGTTTGATTTATTGAATCTCATAGTTAGCAGTAGTTTGCAGAAACAAGGAAAAGTGATGTGGCAGCTTCAATTAATTACTTTCTGCAGATAAAGCTAAACCACCTTTCAAATGATCATAAAATAAAGAATCAGTTCTTTCTTTGATGAAGGCAAAGTAAACAGTAGAATAAGGCCTGAGATGCATATGACTCTAGATTTCCAGTGTCTAAATATTGCATCTTGACTGTCAACATTTGAAAACTTTTAATTACTTGATTTGAATTTCTAAGTGATGTAATACTTTCAAAGAATTGGAGGACATTATTATTAAAGGTAATGAGTTTCATGGAGCTTAGTTGCTTGTCTGGAAAGTGAATTAAGTATACAACAAGGAGACTTCTCTGTGCGTCAGAAACTGGACTTTAAAGCAGAAAAAAAGCCTTGAAGATTTCCCTTTTTTGTAACTTTTTAACAGCCACTCTTCAGAATAACTACATCTCATGTTCCTTTGTTAAGTATTATACAGCATCTTCTTCACAACAGCTTTCCAACCTTCAGCACTTGAGTTTTCTCCTCCAACATGCTGCTTCATTATCAGAGCAGCTCTAGATATTAAAGTGACGTAGCAAAGCAGTCCAAAGCAGTGTACTATCTATCTGGTGGAAGACCGCATTTCTCCAGGAAGGCTGGTGTTGAAATGTTGACCGTGCAACTTTTGGCTTTGACTAAGTCCTCACAGAACTCCTGTATAATCAAATAAAAGAGAGGGGGGGGTCTTCTGATGGGTGCCTCAGAGTACCTAAATTAGGCTCCTACTCTATGTTCCAACACCCAGAGAGGAAGCAGCTGTTAGAAAACTGAAACTGCATGAAGTGAAAGTGTGTGCCACTGTCTGCAGCATTATTGTACCCTGAAGGTTTGCACACCCTTCTTCCCCTAAGCAGGACAGTCTTTCCCTTGAGTGAATGGACACTGCTTATGTACAATCTTATACTCGCTGGACACAGTGAGAGAGAAAGAGAGAGAAGATGTGTTTCCAAGTAATTTCTTAGAACTAACTGCAAATGGTTCTCATGTTTTTTAATGAACCTTCCACTTCCCAGCAAGTGTCCTCCTCTAATGCTCATTATAACGAAGGAAGGGATTACTAAACAGATGAATGTGTAGTAAAAAAAACAACCCTGGGGATTCTCACAGTTGGGTTTAAATATTTTACAGCATTACTGATTTTTTTTGTGTTAATTTAACATATTTTAACTTTGATTTTTGCCCACAGTGTTTGATCTTGATATCTAGCATTAGTAACTAAATGCATCCGTAGATAACTACATAAAAGATGCAGAGTAACTCAAATGCTTTTGAATCCTCTATCCGGGGTGGGAATTTCTGGTACTGTTAAATGCCAGGATGCGGTTATTTAGGTACCTAAACATTGACCTAGCTATCTAATGCTAGGAATGCATAACTGAAAAAAACGTAAGTCTGTTCGAAGTGAAAGATTTTGTTTGGCAAATCCAGTGTTTAAACTTTGTTTACAGAGTTGCATGGTCTTCTCCCAGTCAATGCTCCTCTGCCCACTCCCTTCCTTGAGAGACCAGATTATGGAGAAATCAAGTAATACTGTCCTTGTGGTGTTTTATACTAACCTCATTGGTGGTTTTGCCCTAAAAGAGTTCTTTTTAAAAGATGGCTGTGATATTGCAAAGTCACAATTAAGTCTGAGGAGGTTTAAAACAGAAGACAAAACTTCTTTTAAAAAGAAAGTTTCCCCTTTAAAAAGTAGTTCTTCTTGAAAGACAGAACTCTTTCAATTAGTTTAATGAAAAGTCCTTTCCCCATTCACCTTTAAAGGTCAGAGGCCCTTTTTGATCAACTCTAAGGGCATTAGTTCAAAAAATTCTAGAAATTGCAGGAAGCCCAAGGATTTTTATATTTCACCACAAAACACTAATCTTCAGCCGAACATCTAGAGAAAAACACTGTGGGCTTCCTTATGTTCATGTAAAAGGTATCAGCATTAGATTAGAAAAATGACAGTAAATTGCTGTATGAGATGAGTAGCATTCATTTGGTATGAAACCCCAGTTTAAATACCTACAACATACATTGAAATCAATGACTACCCATGCATTCAACAGAAGATCAGTTTTGCCCCTGCCGTGTTTGAAACGGTGTGGTAAGAGACCACCTTTTGTGGTTGTTTCAACTGATATGCACTCCTTGCTGAGCTGGATTTATTACGTTAGGTTTGAAGGAGGTAGGAGTGAGCATAAATGGAAAGAGATGATGCCATTAGTCCAAAGACTAGATAGTAGAGAGGCTAAACAGTTTCCAAACATAGCAAACCAGCCATCTCAGAGAGAAGCACATGGGTTGAAATTCAAAGCCCAGTTGGGAAGAACATGGGACTGGATCTACATATCAAAGCACCAGCCAGGACAGTACCATCAACAACAGTATATTGACATGTTGCTGCATGAAGCAGCCGCCATTCTTAGGTGGTATTATTTAGATGGAATTATTTTTCACAGAATGAGCCCTCAAGATGAAGTGCAGTCCTTGGCTTGATGGAGAACAACGCACAAGATTGGGTTCAGAGTCTCACACTGGAATCCCCACTTTATAAAAACAATATTTCTAGAAAGAGCAACAAAGACCAAATAATTGTCTATAGTTGCGCTAAACTCACGTAAGGGAACAAAATGAGGCTTGTTAAAAAACAAATTGGGAGAGGGAGCTAAAAGAATTAAAAACTTACATGTGGCTAGGAAAAAGCTAAAGGATACCAGACTTGAAGCAAAGAGACAGTCTGAAACATAGCAAAAAGCTATACTGCATTCAAAAGAAGATAACAGAAAGGAACATGAACTTTGATAAACATAAAAATACAATTAGATAGGCCAAAAAGAATTTGGGAAACAACTAGGCAAAGGAACCAAACTACTAAATCATTCTTCTTACATATCAATGAGGAGCAAAAGCCTGCAAGAAAGTCTACAGGGCCAGCTGATGACCAAGGTACAACATGAGTGCTCAGAGGAGACATGGATGTTACAGAAAAGATAAGTTAGGTTTTTTGCATCAGTATTCATTGATGAGGAAACCGGGGAGAACTTTACGCAGGAACCCTTTCTGGGGAACTCAGCAGATCTGTCCAAAGTGAAAACAACACTAGAAGAGGTCAAAATGATCTTACCAAGACAGAGTGAACACTAGCATAGAACCAAGACTAAAAGGTATTCACTGAAAAGCTCCATAATGCAGCAGTGTGGAAAGGACCACTTAAATTAGTTTTGGAGACTAGAGGGCAGCAAATGTGACAAAATTAAAAAAAAAACACAAAAACCCCAACAAAGATTCTGTGGCAATCCAGAAAGCCTGCTTCTGCAGAACAAAAAATACCGGGAACTATAATATAGGCCAGCATGTGAAGAGCCAGCATAGCTTCTGTAGATGAAGTGCTGCCTCATGAGCATGTAGAAAAGAGTCATTGCTGTAGTCTTCATGGATTTAATTAAGGCTGCTGACAACATGTGTTACTGAAGGTTTTAAGGAGATTAAGCAGCCATGAAATAAAACGGAAGGTCCTGCCATTGGCTAAAATACA